AATGGCCCATACATAAAGAATCCGTTCCAAGCTCTTCCAAATTTTAGATCAATCAACGTATGGTAGTTAAGGAGTTACCCGTTGCGTACCCCTCTCCATCCAAAGGCGAACTCCGGGGCGTGTTCGTGGCACGTCTATCTCTATTTGATGCCAAATTTGCTGATCCAGACCCTCTGTCCCGCGAGCAAACGTTAACCGGACAAGATTTTCGTATTCCTCCCTTTTCCGCGAAAGGACCGTGTTTCGCGTTGCTGCGGAGAGGGGAATATAGCCCTATTAGGCCACGGTCGGCACCAATTGAACTAAGGTCCTGATTCGACATACCAAGAGCAACATCCACGAAATAGGCCTCAGCTCTTCAGGTATTCCACTCCAAGCGAGCTTTCGTAAGACAGCGATGTCTACATTCTCCGCCGTGAGGCAATCGACAAACTTTTGTCTTTTCTGCGCTTTCATAGCGTGCTGATGCTGCAATTCTGGGTGGCCTATTCCGGATGCCACTCGTTCCTCGTACTCGGTGGATGAAAGGGAATGAACGGCATGAATGGGATCTGAATTCGAGAAGAATCTATGAGCACTATTAAATCGAACGGTTAAGGATTTAGACGACTCGCCTTTTACAATATCTTCCACGTCGTACTTTATTGCTTCCTTTCCTTCTCGTATCCGCCTATTACGGCCAACAGTGATTTCTGTGATACTTCCTTCTCCATCTATTTCAACCTCATTCTCCACTTCTGGATCAAGTTGTGTTTCGCCTCTGTCCCGAAGTCTGGATGAACGGGGACTGGTGACAATGGTCCATCCTGCAGACTTTCCGTTGTTGTTAGACCCCGAGTATGACGAAGAAGGGCTTGGTGCGGTTATATGTGTGTAGCTGAAGGCGATTGAGCCATCTGGAGCAGTAGGCAAGTCCACGTTAGCTGAACTGTTACTTCGACTAGTGGAGACCGTCGCAGTCCTGGGACTTTTCCCTATTGTTTTCGATGGGCTAACGGGGATAGGCTTAGCAGATGTACTCCCCAGTCCGAATCCTGTTTTTGCCGTGGGTGGAGAACGATAGGCTGATTCGGAATCGGAAGCAGAATCCCAAGCATCGTCGGATGCCAATGTCCACTCTGAAGCGGATTGGGTGATTTTAGGTTTTTTGGACGATTGAGGCGTTCGTGGAACCGTCGCCATTCGGCGATGGTCGGGTCCAAATAGCCACCTAGACTCGACCACAACTTGTCGT